GCCCCACCGCCCCTGTGCGCCACTCCCCCTTTTTCCCTCCACTCGAGCCCCCTTTGCTACTCGCTTCTCCAGCGATCTCGGCTACTTTTTCATTAACACTTTACAATCTTTCCGCATTTTGTTGCCTGCTGCCGTTGTTACAACGCCTCTGCAAGACGCTCATTTTCCACTGCCCAGGGCAACTTCTATATAAGTAATATAGTTTATAAATAAATAAAAAAAAAAGTATTGATTAAATCGATAGGTTTTCTAGAAAAATATTTAATTATACTAAATTAACGCAAAATCATGCTAGCCCATTAGTTTAAATTTTAACTTAATATTTGATGTAAGTCCCAAAATAAGAAACTAGATAAAAGCTTCCTTATAAAGTTATCAATTAAATCGATTGATTATCTTGACTCTCGATAGTCCTAAAAATATTTATGTTTTGTTTTAGTTGGTTTAGTCTTTTAATTTTGTTCCTGTCTTCTTATTGCTTTTGAAAATACGTTTTTCTATCTCCGTTATTTTCTCCGCAGCTGTACTTCTTTCTAAGCAATTTTCCATTTGCCATTACACATTTTATGTAGGCAAAGTATTTATTTATTGCTTGGCCCCCGCAGCAATTTGCGATCATCAGCTGAACGATTCCCATAGAAATAATGATCGTTCGATGATCACTCCGTTTTCTTTGGCAGCTTATCAGTGCTGCAGTTTTTTTTGCGACGCAAATTGTTTATAAAAATTTCTTTTATCATCTCGCCATACACTTCAGACATAAATAAATAAATGTGCATGAATGTACGAGCAAGAAGAGATCAATTACAAATGGAAACACTCGAGAATATTAAATTGGAAACAAAAGATATTCAAATTGCGGGGGTTAAACGATCAATAAGCAATTGAATAAAAATTATTTCGGCGGAAATTAAAATATTCCTTTGAAGAAACTGTTAGGCTGAGCCAAAAGAACAGTACCTTTTGAATGAAAATAAATATAATTAAATACTACCATTTAGAATCTATTGTTGAAAGCACTCTAAAAAAAGTCAGTTAAATATAATCGATTTACATAAAGGGGAGCTTGTCTTCTTGGTCTTTATTAACCCTTTAGGAACCCTTATATGATAGGAATACCTTCTCTAGATACTTTAATTTATTTATTGCGAATTTTTTCTGATCAAATTAAAAATCGTGGCGAAATCGTCGTCAAATAAAAATCATGAATAAACTTGAAGGAAGCCTGAGAACAAACTGAATTTGGATAAGAAAGTGGGCCCAGCGGAATGGATTTATTTTATGGGGGGGCGATAAGGCCGAAAAAAGCTACTGGTCTTTCGGTTTCCGATTTCGTTCGAAAATAAATTTATTTACTTATCCTCTGCTCTGAACGTGTGCCAATCCAAAACAAGATAGTTTTTCCTCTTGCTCCATAATTAGAATTAATTTAAGCTTTAATTACTTTTTTTTGTCATTTTATTTTATATCTTCACTTGCTGACATTCTTGTTGATACGTTTTTGTTTTTATTATTATTTCTTCTTTTTTTTCTTGCTAGAGAAAAGCGTGAGAAATTTTTGGCCGTGGTTTGGATTTTTTTGTTGTGTTTGTTGGTGTTTTTCTTGTTTTAGTTTGGTGTGGTTGCTTTTTGTTTTAGTTGTCGCAGCTGTTGTTGCTTATTATGCTGATAGCGTTTGCTACTTTTTCATTGTTGTTTCTGTTTTTTTTTCGTATGTGGTAATGCGAAAAATTTAAATTCGATAAGCGCCATTTATAAAGAAAAAACCAGCGGAGATATTTCATTATTGTCTTGGCTTCTTTTTTTGTCGTTTTTATTTGTTTGATGTATGTAAATTGTTTTTTCGGTTAATTACAAGTGGTTCATTGATCGCTTTATGGCGGAGATTGTTGGCCAACAATATGTGTCAAATGGTAAATGACATTTTATTGTTTATATCTTGTAAAGAAAGTTTATAATCCTATTACCTAGAAATTGTTTAATGTTTAATAAATTAAATTTAAAAATGCATTTACCCTTAAAAAAAAATTACTCGGCTTTATTACATGCAACATTTGGCTGTCGTTTCCATTCCATTTTCATCGATCAATATCACGGATATTTGCAAGTCACAGTCACGCCTGCTTTCATCGTTGATTGTAAATTGTCGTGACTTTGAGAGATTCCCCGGATTTGCCCGCGAAACCAAGAGCAAAACCAAAACGGCCAATCTCTATTACACATATCGTTGAGCAAGTTTAATTAGGTCTTAACTCGGTTTGGGCCAAGTCAAGCAATTAACAGCTCATTTGTCGGCGGTGGAAAAGCGGAAAAGCATGTGCACCGTGGGCATCTGCTTAAACGGCGCATAAATACCGGGCCCAAAAACAATTCCACGTTGATTTTACATGTGTGCGGTAAATCACACGCAATAAAAAAATGCTCAGATAGGCAGAAAACTACAAAAAAAAAATCCAGCTGAAAAACTGAAAATCTTTTCACGCTCTGTCGATGAAGCGTTGAGCTGCCGCCTGCCATCTCTGTCTTTCTCGCCTTTCTTGCCGGCAAATTAATTAAACAGAGTCATAAGCCCCCGGCCACACCTCTCGAAAAAAAAAACCAAAACCATTTAAGCTCTGTCCCCATTTGTGTGATCTTTACCTGGAATTCGTATAATTCAATTTCAGACATGTGCCCATTTTATGTACGCACTTTTGTCACATATTCTTCGTTTAACAGAATTAGAAAAATCATTTAATTCCTGAAAAGTATTAACAAAATTATCAAAAAACATAAAAACATATGGAATTAAAAGCAATAAAAATATAAAGATGACTTAATTTAGTATTTGCATGCATAGAAAATAATTATAAATTACTTGCAAATATTTTAAAATGTTTTGATAAATGAGAACTATAAAGTAGCTTAAATAAATCAGTAGATTTTAGTTCCTCAAAGTTTTCCCAAATAAATAAATAAAAATGAACAGTCATTAAAAAACTGAATTAAAATCCATTCAAATAAAAAGAATATTGAATTAAGTATTTGTATGCTTAAAAAAATAATTACAAATTACTTAAAAATATTATAAAATGTTATGATAAATAAGAACTTTAAAGTAACTTAACCCAATCATTTGATTTTGGAGGCTGCACCCACAACACTGACACTGCGTTTTATTTATATCTGCTTCTCTTTTAGATTTGTGGCATTTTTTTTTTGCATCTGTTTTATTTTTTTTACACTAATTGAGGTCAATTAGTTTACAAACAAACGCACACACACACACTCGCGGACAAGCGAAGACAATCAAATGCAGAGCAACATCTCAGCATGCTGCAATAATTTTTTCCTTTTGCATAAATTTCTGCAATATTGTGCACACATTGGATGTGACTCAATTTAAAGTTATCTCTTATTTTTTTATTATTATTTTTTTTGTTGTTGCTTCCTTTGCAGCTTTATTTATGTATTGTCATTAGCCAGTTAATCAGGCGTATATATGTATGCGTGCAGATTATATATCTTTGGGATTTATGCCACGTCTTCTCCACAAGCCATCGATCATCAATGTTTAAAGGAGACGAAAGACAGTGAGCAAAAAATTAGTCTGGCAAAAGTATGAAATTTATTTCTCATAGTACAAATTAAATATGAAATTATTTTGATTTTAAAAAAATATAAAATACAAATATTTCATAATTTCAAAACAAATTAAAAATAAAAAGAATTTATTGTGAAAAATAAACATTTAGCTTACTTTACTTTTTCTTGGAAATTTTCAATTTGTGCATTCAATTGGCGCTTAAACTTAAGCCTTTTTGCATTTGATTTGTGCTTGTGTATGCATGGCGGTACAGTGGTCACTCATTGTGTGTGTGTGTGTATGTTTAAGCACCCTCTACAGGGCCACGCCCCGCCGCCCACCGCCCCTTTCGGCAGACAAAGCGATTTATTTATCTCCGCCTGACGGGGGCAATCAAAACTTATTGTCGTCGCCTCGAACAGAACCGAAATGAACTGAAGCGCTTGGAAGAGCCCGAGTTCAGCTGAGTTAGGAACCCCGCGTCCCTCGGTTTTCTGGCTTTTTTCAGCGCAGGAAATCGCCACACGCCCAATTAGCAAACATAAATACAGTTGGGCGCAAAAAAATAGCAAATAAGGTTAAAAATATTCAAGTAAAGTTTGTTTAATTATTATAAAACTATTAAAAAATTATTTCATGTTCTTATAATTTTAAAAAATCCTTGAAAATAAAAGTACAAAAATAACCTTTCAATAGATCTTAAAGTTAACTATGCTTCTGAGCTCAATTGTACATAACTGATATATTTTTTGGATGACAGAACCTGAAGAGGTGAAGTGAAATTGGGGGGATTGCTTGTTTGCGGCTTCGTTTGTTTAATTTTGTGTGCCAGATATTTTTCAATGGAATAAGCATAATTTTTGTGTGCCTTCATTTCTTTTTTATTTTGTTACTTTTTTTTTTTGCTATGTGTGTGGATATTTTTTGTGCATAATAATAATTTGATTTGATTGCACAAGTTTCAGTTTTCTTATCCAACTATTTTTCTGCAGCGCTGGCCAGTTGAAGTGCAGTGAACTTTTTGTCTGTGATTGGCAACAATGATGATAATGATGATGAAGACAATGACTTTGACATGCCGCCTGTTTGCCCTTAAAAGGCCGAGAAACATATACGATCTGCCGATCTTCTGCAAGCCGAACAAGAATGTTTTTATTCTCTCTCTCCTTTTTTTACAACGATGTGGCATGTTAAGTAGACATAAATGGGCGACAAGTTAGCATGATCTTACAGATATGGTGGATGGTCAGTGGAGAAGAGGTGTCTATAAGAATTTATATAGGAAGCCTGGCATAATAACTGAAAAATGGTTTTGTGATTGGTATAATGCTAAGCCTAACTTATGGCAAACTTGTATGGATTATAATCCATAAAGAAATATTTTTCATTTATGAACCCCCTATTGATTATAAACATTTTCCATTTCTCCTTGCAGATACCGCGTTGGTGCCCCTTTCCTGCACAAGTGTGGTCTGCCAGAATGGCGGAACCTGCGTCACACAACTCAATGGCAAAATCTACTGCGCGTAAGTAATCTACTTATTTGTATTTATTATAGCTGTTTTGGTTTAAAGAGAGGCACATACCAAATATTTCCTGATTTAACCCAAGGGTCGGTCAGTTCAGATAGTCTATTTTATTCCAACAACTTGAATGAAATCGATTTAAGGCAGATATATTATATTTATATCTTCAGAAAGGGACAGAAAGACTGAAAGGCATTTGCATATGTCAATCAAGAGCTCAACTTCAAGGACAAGGGATTTTTGTGTGTGTACTCTTTTTAATTTAACTCGAAATTCGTCTAGACAAAAGGAGGGAAGTTGTTGTTTGGCCAGACAAAAGCGCCCGCACAATCTTTAGTCTTGGCTCGGCTGCGGTCTCCAGTCTTCAGTCTTCAGTCTTCGGTCTCCAGTCTGCAGTCTTCTCTTCTCTCTGCGGATCGAATCAAATCGGGCTCGTTGTCGAGCGACATTCCTGGCAAATCGGTTTGAACCTAAACGAGAGTCTGGGAGTCTCTGGTTCGTGCCTTTAGCCCGGTTCGCATGATTTTCACTCGCCTCGTATTTCGATTTTCGTATTTTGTTTCCTCCTCCATGTGTTGTCTTTTTTATTTATTTCTCGATTTTTTCCCTTTTTTTGTTAGCTGTTGTAGTTGTCTATTTCTCTCTGTTGTCTCTGCAATAAATCAAATGCGGCCCAAAACAAACGGCACGTACGCAACGCATAACTCTGTTTGAGTTATTATAAATAGAGAGTCCAGTCGAGTCGAGTCGGTGAAACGATCGCTATATCCATATATTTTGACAGACTGTCGTCAACAATTTTTACGAGTCTGTGAAGCGGGCCGAGCAAACCTACATACATGGCATAATTAACAAAAAACTCATTGCAAGAACACCCAAAAAGTTAAGATCGAATTGCATTCCACTCGGTCGGAGACGCACACTCATGCTTCCACTATTTCTAGAGATCCAGTTTGATTTTAGCTGATGTTTTTATAGCAACCTACAAATTCTTGTAAGATGAAAAATTTTTTTAATTGTAAATTTTTGGCTAGTAAATACTTATTAAATCATCATTTTAAAAAAAATGTTAAGTTAGCAAATTCCTTACATCCATTGACCCATAAAAAGTTTAGTATCGACGGATTTCTAAAAAAAACTCCTCTCATATTTCGTGCTAAATATTCATTTTTATTTACCATTATTTTTTGCTTTTGTTGATGTTCGGTTCACTGACTCATCAAAAAAAAAAAGACGAACGCAAAAAAGCTGTTTAATACATCAAAAGAAATTTCCGCCAAAAAAAGGGGGCGCTGGGGGCGTGGTCTCCGCATCGAAAGAGATGCTGCTCATTAACATGTCATAAACCGCTAGTAAGAAATGCCTTTTTCTTCGCTTTTTGTGCGGCTCTTTGGCCATATAAATCAAACTCATTGTTCTGAGATGATGGCAGTGACAAAATTGAGCCGCAGACTACATGACATTTGACATGAGATGGAAATGGAAATGGACAAAAAATTGTTGTGTCGTGGTCGGTTGACTCAAAATGAAAACCAAACCAAACCGTTGGCAATCGAGTCAATTAAACAAACAAGCTGGCAGTCGGAAAAGCGATCGTAAAAGCCAAATAAAAGCTAAGCTTTTTGGCCAGAAGAGAGAGAGAGAAAACCGAAACAACCAGAGCAATTCCAAATCAAGAAAATGTGGTAAATGGATCAGCATGGATCAACCGAAAACGATCTGCGAGGATCAGTTGGCCAAAAAAAAAAAACCAACTCTAATAGCTCAAGCTCAAGACAAAAGTTCAAAGCGATCTTATCGCCAAATCAAAAACAAAACAAACCGAACTGAAGGAAAAAAAAATGTCTTAAAGAAAGAGCGGCCAGCACATATACACATGGCCATTGGCTTGATCGTGCCTTTGATGATCATCGCAAAAACCAAAACCAAGGCAAGGCAGTCGAGGAAAGAGCCAGAAAGCAAAATAAAATAACCCACGGATCCCGAGAGATCCAAGAGTCTGCACAGAAATATATATAAACGAAACAAGAGAAAAAAAAAACTAAACTGGCATCGCGCAGTTTTAGGCTAAGAGCCAAGCGCTTTTATGTAATTGCCCAAAGATAGTTGAGGAAAGAGCGGGCCAGGATCGGTTGACATGTGTAGTGGTCTCTCCATAGAGGAGGCTAGAAAACTCTGTTTACAACGGACGCCAAGATCTTGGCGATCAAAAAAGGCAACTGATCAGCCATTGAAACTGTTGTACTATTTTAGAATACAAAACGAGATCAGCTTGAATTGATTGTGGAAGTGCATTTAATGAGGAAATAAACTCTGTTCGGGCAGGCTTCGCTGATAATAATATTTAGATTTTATTTTATTTTATAATAACAAATTTAGTTGTAGAAAAGCCACATACGAAATATTTTGTTTGGAAACCCAAGAATCGTTGAGTTCGGTTTGTCTATTTTAGGAAAAACTGTTTCGAATTGGTACCCAATTAAATAATCTCGAGTTGAATCGATTTAAACCATTATATCCAGACGTATTTAATCATCAGAAAGTGAATTAACCATCGAGTGAGAAAAGTTCGTTGCCTAAGTCTTTTGTTTTCCAGACACAGCATGTGTGTGTGTGCGTGTTTCTAAATGCTCGCACACACACACATATATAAACGCTCACCGCAGGAGAATAATTTACGTTTTTATTTGAACTCTTGGCTCACACGCTTTGCACTTGAAAATGTTCTCTGCTTTCTACCTTTTCCTCTTTCTCGTTCTTGTTCTTGTTCTTTTCTTTTCATGCCCCTTGTCTTTTTCTTTTTCATTTCTTTTCTTCTCGAAAAGTGAAAAAAAGGGGGAAAAGCATTTCCAGGCTGCAATTACTTTAATTAACTGATCATTAAGCACATTGGCCATGGGGCTCGATGCTCTATGCTCTATGGTCTGGAAATGACAATGGAAAAGCCAACTTTTCATCTGTGCTGGGATGACACATTTAACTTGCGGCAGCCATTTTATATTATATATATCTTTCTCTCCATATATATATATATATATATGTACAGATATTTGTGAACATCCTTCGGATGTTCGGGCTAAAACTTGTTTGCAACCTGCTCTGATTGCTTTTCTGTGTTACACAAGCTCCAAAGAAACAAGGGTCTCGAGATGAGGAGAGCGAGGAGCACGAGTTCGGGCCCATCCCATGAGATCTTGGCTACCCAAAAAGCGTAGCGAATATTTATTGTGCATTCCGCTTGCATTTTACATTTTTTTTTTGAACAGGAGACAGACCCTTTGCTCCCTTTATATTTTTATGTGTGTGTGCTCTGTTTTTATCGTATTTTTTATTTTTTTTTATTTTTTTTTCTACAGCCAAGGCGTTGGCGTACAAAATTCCTTTAGCCAGGTCTCTTTGCCTCTCTCTTTGGTCAAATTAAAACGTTTTATTGAAACTCAATTAAGTTGCGCATTCTCACGAAACGCTGAAGATGGTAGACCAAGTTGATGATGATGGTTGGATGGATGGATGGATGGTTCGTTGGATGGATGGATGGTTGGTTGGTTGATGGGTGAGGAGAAGAAGAAGAGGCGTAGAAGGCATAATGTTAATTATTCGAATGTGGAATGATGCATTACATAAATCTGAGCTTTGTCTTCTCATAACTGAAATGAAAGATTTTCCCAGGCTTACATCTCTTAATTATGCATATATGGAAATACCTTTGCTTTTTCTTCTACTGCCGACGACAAATCATTTCGAAATTTCGATGGGGAGCACCTTCTTTTGGGAACTCTTTCTATAATCACATCCTACATATTGCATGTCGATTTCGGTTATTATATGAGCTTTTGATATAGGAAAGGCACATCTCAAAAATATTTGAGTTTAGAACCTTAATTTGTTATCAAATTTTCGATTTAAACCATATTGTAAAAGAGGTACATTTTCTAAAAAACCCTTTCTAGAAAAAACGTTTATCTCAAAACATTTCATTTATTATAAAAGCTTTCCTCACAAAACACAATTTAATTTGAGTTCAGATAGATAGTCACTTTTATGACATGATGTTTTATGCTATTATCAAACAGTAAAATTTAAAAATTCCAAACTGACTGAATAAAGATAGTTTTTATTGGCGACAGTTTAGATTGATCATCATTTGCATAAAACAAACAAGTCGAACAAAGTGAAACGAGGCATCGTAAAACCGTTTTTTATGCTTCATATCGATATTAACTTTTTCCGCTTTATTAAACCAATAAAAGCTTAATAAAATCGAGGATTCCGTATAAGAAATCACCACGTTGTGCAATGGCATTGGGTCAGGTATATAGTTATAGTTCGTTACCTGGAAACTGGAACCTGTGTGGATAGCATTTGACGGACCAGTGTCAGAAAATGCATTCTTTTTCTTTTACCTGCTCAACGGACAATGGGAAATCAAACAAAAACAGAACCGAAGAAGACCTTAAATCTCTCCACAAACAACAGCTGGAAATGGATGGATGGATGGATAGATAGATATTTATGTGAGCTACATGGATGGAAACAGAACGGAAAGAAAATTTGTTGGGTGTAAAATTTGTTAGTGAGCCGGGGTCACGCATTTCATTTCGGTTTTCCACTTTTCCACTCTGTCCTCCCTTTTGCCATTGTTCTTGAACAGCTAAGCAAATACCGAATACCAAATGTCTGGGTGAAAGGAAGCGATAGATAAAGGCCTCGGGGATAGGGAACGTCGAGCATTTGGGCGTGTTGCACCTGCGGATGGAAAAGCGAACACATTTTCACGTGAAAAACACGTCTCAGCAAAAGCCGAAAAACCGAGAAAAACGGAGTGAGCATGTGTAATGCGAGAAGTGTGCTCTCGGTACCTTTAAATTTTCCCCTCTTCTCGCCACAGATCATCTTGATTGTTCTCGTATTTTGGGTTAAGGTGGGGTAAAGTTTCCTTTTAAAGCGCAGTTAATGAAAGTTTTTGAATCTATAAATTATTTCTAAATTTCGGTTTTTAATTTAATTTTAATTTGCATAAAAAATCTAACATTATTTTATTCCTAGTTCAAAGATCATTTCCTATCAATATTGCTGTTGTCAAAACAAATCATGGGAATCCCACACCAATCGAAAGATTTAATGGGGATCAAAGCTTAATTGGGAAGTGAAAAATCCCAGTTTGATAAGCAGCCACCCCTTACAAAGTAAGCCTTTCAAAATTCCTATCTATCAACCCATTCAGACAAATTGATCAAGCACAACTAATTGGTGTCGTCTTATCAGCTAATTAAACAAATGGGAATCTTTCAAGAGTGTCTGGGGAGTATTTGTGTGGCGATAAGCAGTTTATTTTGCCTCTCTCTACCGATTCTGTGATAAAGTGCTAGGATCAGCAGAAAGCTGAATATATAAATTTGATATATTTGTTTGTTGTTTGTGTGCTTACTGTACAAAAGGTTTGGGTTCCAAAGAAGTTGAATTTCTTGAAGAATAATTTTGTCCAGTGTAGTTTATGTATTATCAATTATAATTCATGTTGATTAATATTCCAAGTAATATAGAAATAATAACTTTTTGGCAGTGCACGAGGCGTGTGAATTGCACTGGGGAAATTAGACACTCGAAAGACAAGCGGCGAGCTGAGAGGAGTTGTCTTTCGATCTCTGGAAGCCATATATAGCTATAGTCGAGCGGAGTGGTCGATGAATGATCATCGGGCGATGACATTAAATCATTTGCCTATAAACCATGAGTCTACGGCGAAACAGCCGCCCAGCCGTTCAGCTAGCCCAGAAATCCATAATCCATTCGATACGAGCTGCTGTGGTTACCCATTCAATCGAACGATCGTGAGAAGCGAATATAAATATATATATATATAGTATAGCTATGTATATTTCATATTCACTTCATGCAGTTATGATTGTGAACAATTTCTGTCCCCGATCGCCGACCGCAAATTGAGTTGGAAGCGGAGATACGGATGCAGAGATGTAGATACAGATGCAGATACAGATACAATCATTTGATCTGATCTGAGATAGATTAGCGCTAGCTTTTCTCACGAGCAATTTTCTGTTCAAAGATTTGGAAATTTAAAAAATAGAGTAAAATAGGACAATTACGATTAAATCTATTCTATTAAAGAACTTGATACAGGGACGTTTTCCATATTATCGATAGACTGACAAATCTATCGATAGAATAATATTGCAACCTTTCAATTTAATTTCTTACCCGTTTACCGCTCTGTTTCCTTCACGTGACAAAAGGTGACTCATTCCCTTTTTGGCCAACTTTATAAAGGAGGCTTAAAAGCAGATCAGGGGTATAGAGGAGTAGAATGGGGAGGGAGAAGGAGATAAAGCCAGTAAACACACACACCAACACACCCAGTGGCTGCCTTGGTTTATTTGCCAATGCGAGTCACGTTTTCTGCTAGCCCTCTCTTTCTTTCTCTCAAAACAAGTTACCTTACCGACAACTTCCAACTCGAACTGAAAAACTCGGCTTGGCCTGTGTATAATTTATATTACATTAATTTTTCCATCCAACATTTTTCCCTCTCTTTTGGGCAGGCAGCAAAAAGCCTGACACCTCATTTGAATGGGGCTTCCCCCTTGCTACTGCTACTACTCGTTTGCCTTCTCGGTTTTATTTCTCCTTTTTGGCCTGGGCTTATCAGCTGGCTTATATCGGCTAAATACCTTTAAGAAAGCTCTATGCGGATTTATATCGATCATTGGAAATTATTTACGTATGAAAAGTATCAAGTTATGAAAGTATCGATCAACAAACGATAAATATTGATCAACCAACATGGGGAAACAATAACAATCATTAAAATAGGAATTTTGTAAAATTTAATAAAATCATTTTTTGTAATCGACATTAAATAATCCGATAAATTATTACAAAATCGATTTTAATATCACGATGATAAATTGCCTTATAAATAGGGAAAGGCCTTTTTCTTTGCATTTTCTTTTAGTGTACTTATGCTCCTCACCTTATTTTTTATTTTGTGTTGAAAACTCTCTAAATTCTCCTTTAAAAATTAGCAGGCTGTCTTCGATTACGATCGACAGACTTTGAGGTTAGGCAGGGCCTCCTCTATAGGGGATTGCTACAAATTAATGCTAAATCTAAAGCATTTTCACACACTTGTAACGGGAAGTAGCAGCATCGGACAACAAAAAAAAGAAGGCAGAAATAATACGAAAAAAGAAAAGCGGTTTTTCCTCGGCTGGACCAGCAGCAACATCCCATCGTCTCCAGCGCTTTTCAGGTTGGTCAGCAGCAGCCGCCTTAATGATTATTCATTGCTTGTTGCTGGTTGTTCGGTATGTTGCTGCCGTGCTGCTTGATGTTGCTGCTGCTGATGCTGCTGCTGCATCAGCAATGCGTGTAATTTTCTCATTGCAGCCGATGAAGAAGCAGCAGCGGCAAAAAAATTTAATATGCAATCAAGATCGCGCACAAATTACCGTACATAAAAATTGTTTTCTCAAGGGAAAAGTAACAACAACAAGGCATAATGTCGTTGTCGTCGAAGAGTTGGGAGTGGAGAATCGGCAAAAGAAGAGAGTCTCCAATGTAAAGAGCAGATATTGTGTTCCATCATTGTCATTACTCGACCAATTTGTAGTACTTTTTTCTTCTTTACACCATAAATATTGTTTATGGGAAACTTATTGAACTGATTTTCCTTTGGCGGTGGAAAACTGTGGGATCTTTGGGGGAGGAAAAACTATTTAGCTTTGATACTATGGATCTATAGTACATTTAGTGAAATATTTAAATAGAAATACCTCTATGCAAAGTTTTAAGCAAGCTTAAGAGATCAACTTGGATGCGATAACCCATCTGTCGTTCAACTGGAGCTCCAACTTGTCCAAATCCCCAGCCATGTGAAAGTGGTCCAAGGAGCCGCAGAGTTGGGGCGGAAATGAGGCTACTTTGTCAGCTTTAACACTTTGAAGTCCGCTTTATATCGGGCGGCGCAGATCTGGCTCCTGACTTTGGTCAACTAAGCCGACAAGTCGATAAACTAGCTAACCAACGATATGTGTGAACTCACTGCGAGGAAATTTGCCAAATAGTCCCTGCTCGGGCGCCATTTGGAAATAAGCTTGAAAAATATTGACTATTTATCGATTTTTAATTTGTGTTTTCCCTTAAAAACATCGAAATTATCGAAAATATATTGAAGAAAATATCGATAATTTAAAGTTTTTTGTTTTTGAATTTCTTCAAGTGCAAAAATATGTGTGCCTCATTGCTCCCATTTGAAAATCACCACCTGCAACCCATTTTAATAGCAAACCGCTAATCTGTATCTGTATCTTTTCCAGTTGCGATTCACACTATGTCGGCGACTACTGTCAACACCGAAATCCGTGCAATTCGATGCGTTGCCAGAATGGCGGCACCTGTCAGGTGACCTTTCGCAACGGTCGTCCTGGCATCTCCTGCAAGTGTCCCCTGGGCTTCGACGAGTCCTTGTGCGAAATAGCGGTGCCGAATGCCTGCGATCATGTGACCTGTCACAACGGAGGCACCTGTCAGCTGAAGACCCTGCAGGAGTACACGTGTGCGTGTGCCAATGGCTATACAGGTGAGCATTCTGTCGGGGAAAAATCCCCAAATAATATTAGAAAATAGATCAAGGACTAAACACTATTTACTCTATCCACAGGTGAGCGATGCGAGACGAAGAATCTGTGCGCCAGTTCGCCCTGCCGGAATGGAGGCACCTGCACCGCCTTGGCCGGAAGCAGCAGCTTCACCTGCTCCTGTCCACCGGGATTCAATGGTGACACCTGCTCCTTCGACATCGAGGAGTGCCTGTCGAATCCCTGCAAGTACGGCGGCACCTGCGTCAACACCCACGGATCCTACCAGTAAGTTTTCGAACTCATTAAACAACTTTACTACAATTTATGCAAATCGCCAATCACATTTGTTAAACCCATCGATTACACATTGAAAAACATCGTTTTTCGTACAAATACAAATCGATGAACATCGAAATTCCACCCTGTTGAATATCAATCGAAGCGCCGATTGTCAATAAATCGAATTGTCAGCGGATGTGATAACTCAACTTCCAGCTGACAAGTGCAAATTGTTTTCTCTGTTCGACAAAAGATCAAACACGTCTGATTCTGCACCGTTTGTTTTCTCTCCCCCGAAATCGATAACAAATCATCGTTGCGAAACGATTAGCATATTTATCTAAAGCTCGGCCGCTCGCTGGCTTCCTTTAATTAATGGCAATTTAAGAGTAATAATTTATAAAATCTCATTTTATTTCGAGGCGATTTGCATAGCTTATTGATTTTCGTTTAGGCCAACAACAAATTGCCAATTGGTCCCAACAACATTTCCACTCTAATTAAAACACACAAAACGCGATCGACCTATAGAAAATGAGTCGTCGGACAAAAGATCTCAAATTTCCGGCGATCTTTTGTCTAGAAACACACGACTTTTTAGTCTTTTTGGGAACTGGTTCAGCCACGTAAATTAAATTACTTCGTTTTGTTTTGTTTTTTTTTTGTGTCAGTTTTGGAATCATTTGCATTTTTAATTTGAAACACACAAATTATCCAAAGGGAGCGGGCAAGAGGGTGTGTGGGTTGGGGATTTAAATATATCTTTACTAAAAACCATTTGAGCAGAAAAGTGCGATGTGAACATGTGTTTGCTGTTTGTTTTAGTTTAGTTTGACTGTGGATGTTTTCAAAGCAATTAGCATACACTTGAAATAATTCCATTTAAATATTTTAAACGATTTTAAATTTAAAAAAACTTGGAGGAGGATAAATGTTAATTGCACTTCCAAAATTAAAATCCCATAAATTGTAATTAAATCGAGACTCTTCATTGTTTGGTCCTTTTGTGTATTAAATCCAAAATATAATATTAATGCCCCATGATAAATCGTTGCGATCGGGAAGTGAATGGGGGGCCTAAATGATCTTCTGCCACCGTTGAATGGCTGGCAGGGCAATTTGCATAAATTTCATATTCGATTTGTGGATTTTATGATGTTTCTATGCTAAAACCTGCGGCCAAAGCTTAGTCATGCTTTAGTTTATGAGGTTTTAGGTTTTCTGTTTCGTTTCATTTTGGCAAAGACAGCGATTTTATTTGTCAACTGTCAGTTGGTGGGAATTTATTAATGGAAACAAACTGTCGAACACAAACGAATAATTAAGTGAATAGGTATTCGTGATTCGTTATTCATGGCAATTGGAATGGGCCCATTGAATATTGAGTGGTTTAATGGATGAATAATTTGGCATGGGAGTCGGTCAAAGGTGAACTGCATTTTTTTTTCGGGTGCAGTAAATTACTTAACGAATTTAAAAAAAATTGTAGGTTGTACAAACATTTTTTTTTTAATTTATTTAGTTTTTTTAATCAACTGAAAGAAATTCACTGATGAATCACCATTTGTGATATAAATAATTGAAATCTGCCTAGATTTCACTTGCTCATTAAGAGCCCCACACCCATAGGGCAACAAAAAAGATGCCAAAATTCAACGAACCCAAAAACCGAAATCCAATCTTCATTTCGAAGATAAAAAAAAAGAAGAAGAGAGGAGGAGGCCCTTGGGCTATTGGCCTGCTGGATTTCACATGTCAATCAAAAATCAATTTTTTTACGGAATGCTTTTCTGTTTTGTTTTCTTTGTTAGGCACCGGCAATTTTCAATTCAATGTAATTTACTCGAAAACTCGAACCTTTGGGGAGATGGGAAGCACATATATGAAGGTATGGGGCCTCTCCGAAGAATTGTGATCCCCAATGAGTTCTGTTTTGGCCATGCTGACTATTTAAAGAGTTGCCGGTTGGTGGCTTTTAATTGTTTAATTTAATTAAATGCTCTTTAATGGTCTTAATTAGCGCTGCGAGGGGCGTGGCCATGTCCATTGGCCTTTTAAGGTGCTCCCGACGCGACCGAAAACACAAAAACCAAACCCGTTTTAATGGCTGAAAGACATTTCTCAAGAATCCCAGTGCAGTTGGAGTTTCGGTTCGGTTTACAAGGCACAAGCAAATTAAGTTTAAATCACATTAAACAAAAAACAAAACAAAAACAAAAAATAAAGTATAAGAATGAAAGAAGAAGCGGCAGTACAAAATCAAAGTGAACAAAAACCCGGGCCATAAAAGAGAGTCCCAAAGAGAGATACTCCACTGGAGTTTTTTCTTATTTTTTTTTATTATACTATATCTTTGTGGTAACCGAAAAACCGGTCGAAACTCCTCTAAGCAATACACAATCACACACACACTCAAACTCACACTCGCTCGAATTAAGCCCCTTTGGATTGAGATACAAATCCAGATCCGAATCCGAATTCGAACTGCAAAACGGAAGTTCAGGCCAGGGACAAATTTTATGGTTTCCCTGGTAGTTTGGTAGCCAGGCCGAATTTAATTGCTGTTAATGTTAACCCGCGTTTAATTGCTGTTCTCGCTTCTGTTCTGTTTCAGATGCATGTGTCCCACGGGCTACACGGGCAAGGATTGCGACACCAAGTACAAGCCCTGCTCACCATCGCCCTGCCAGAATGGCGGAGTTTGCCGATCGAACGGTCTGTCCTACGACTGCAAGTGCCCCAAAGGTGAGTTTTGTTCTATTTTTATCTAAATATCTTTGATACTTCGTTTCATATCTATTGCTTCAGTAGAAGCCAAGTTACTTGAGGTTACTTTAGGAGTATTATAAATATTTACGTAATATTTTTATCAAATTATATGTCACCGAAAGCGTTTGGTACAAGCGTATTGGATACCAAAACTAATAGGGGAACCATTAATACAATCCAAATAACGATAGTTTTTATACCCGTTACTCGTAGAGTAAAAGGGTATACTAGATTCGTGCAAAAGTATGTAACAGGTAGAAGGAAGCGTTTCCGACCCTATAAACTATATATATTCTTGATCAGGATCACTAGCCGAGTCGATCTAGCCATGTCCGTCTGTCCGTCTGTCTGTCCGTCTGTCTGTCTGTCTGTCTGTCTGCCTGTCTGTCTGTCTGTCTGTCTGTATGAACGCTGAGATCTCGGAAACTATAAAAGCTAGAAGATTGCCATTTTGCATGCAGATTATAGGAGTTCCTACGCAGCGCAAGTTTGTTTCAAAAGGGTGCCACGCCCCCTCTAACGCCCACAATCGCTTATATACGATTTTAAAATTTTTTTTTTTTTTAAAATTATGGTGTTTATCAATACCTATCGAAATTTTTGAAATCGGACCATTCGTTAAAAAGTTACGGCGGATCAAAGTTTTATCTCCATCTCCTTCGCACTTCCTTTAGCTGAGTAACGGGTATCTGATAGTCGGGGCACCCGACTATAGCGTTCTATCTTGTTTAATTTAAAATCGTAAATTATAATTACAAAACTTTATTTTTGGGTTTCAATACTTTATTTTAATGCAAACTAATCAGATAATTAGTATATTATAAATATCTAAATTTGTTTTAAAATCCTAATTATTTATTTAACACCAAGTACCAAAAATTCAATGGCTTATTTCCCCTTAAAGATCAGTTATTAGTCGACGATTTTCGATTTGAGCAAACCCAACCCGAGGCTTTGGGTTCTCAGCAATCAGAGGAAAAATATAGCGACGCTTTCCGATGAGAACGCTTCTCAGCGCCTATCGATAACCAGTTATCGATGATGCTGAATCATGACTCATGACTGGCCACGAGCCAAATGGAAATAGTCGCCCACGCCGAAGTATCTGAAGTAGTAGCTGCCACAAGGGGCAAACTCGTTTGTCAGCTAAAAACCCCTTTGCCTCCTCCTTTTTTTTGTGTTGTTTTTCTTTTTTTTTTTGACCAGCCCAGCATCATTCATCAGTTTTTTTGACTGCAACTTTTACATTACAGCCCATTCCCAGTGCTGTTCATTCCATTCCACCATTCCGGGGCGCATTACAAATTTAAAGATCGTGGCCCCATCACCGCGTCTTTCTTCTGTGTCTTCTGCAGCTTCCTCTCTTCTGGCGGTTTCTTCGGCTTCCTTGGCCGATTGTCTTGCATGACCTCCTTAGGGCGTAACTGTGCTTAAGCATCCATTCCACCCCGCAGATCATTGGTAAAAGTATTGGATGGATGGGTAATGGCTCAAGAAAAAGGGGGAACGGTGGCCCCCGGAATTGGCGCAATTTTCGCTGAGATTTGTTCACCAAACTTTTGAAGATTGTATCGTTTCTTATATATACGATCTATTGCTTATATTTGATTATATTTCAAAATACTGAGTACCAAAAGTTAAAGCCGAACTCTCGATACAATCCAAGTTACGATAGAATTTATACATATTTATTAGGAATTATATTTCCATGAATGTTTTTCTAAATTTATTTTCTTTCGGAATCAATTTTAATTTGAACTGAAGATATTATTATCTTAATTTTTCCCTTGCTTATTTAATTATTAATTTTTTGATGGATGTTTCCTTGTTATTTTTTCGGTGCCTTCAACTTGTTTTCCCAGTGATTTGCCGCCCGTTGTTGTGTTTTTTGTACTTCTTTCTTTATTTTGCATAATGAGTGCAACTCCGACCGGCCCCTCCCCCTTTTTACCCCTCCCATGATGTGTTTTTTGTTGTTTGTGTTGTTTTTTTGCACTCTTATTGCAACGTGATGTCCACAGGGCGATTCGTGTCGTGTCGGTTTCGTTGTTCGCTGGCTGTTGTAATTCGGTTGGAATTGCTCAACATTAGCCAACAACTTAAGTTTAAAAAGAAACAACAACAACAGAGTGCGAAAAAGGCGTTATAACATTTCCCAGTGCAATAAATATTGCAAATTCCAGCTTTGGTCACACTTTCACACGATCTTTACAAGGCATTCCAAAAAATCTAAGGCTTAAATACAACCTATTTTATGTTTGGTTGGTACAATACCATGATTTTGTTTTTTCAAAAAGTATTTTATTCTGAGGTTCTTTAATATTAAATTGTATCATTTTAGTTTTCTATGTGAGCCACTTTTCATAAGCATTCTCAGTACCAAAAATCCTAGCTTAAGCTTTAATACAATCCAATTTACTATAGGTTAACTATTTAGTTAACCCATACCAAGTTGTATGTTACTTTCAATCTGCATAGATTAATTCCCACCGAATTCACTTAACAAATATGTAATTTCCCAAAGTACCAATTTCCCAGTGCAATAAATATCGTCAATTCCTGTTTTAATCCCTTTTTTCACACGATCTTTTTGCTGATCCGATCTATTTCGTATGTTTAATTTGCGCTTACGGCCTTATTAGAATTTTTGATTGGGCGCAATTAAAAGGCCAGACGACACACAGTGCAAAGCTTATCAAATTGTTTTAGCTCCCCTCGCTGCAGTTTGTGCAGCTTGTAAATTGTCGTGTGCAATTCGCATCAATTGAAATGAATTAATTGAAAATTGCACACAAAACACACACACACACACTGGCAAACACACACACACTTATGTATGCTTAAATGCAATGCGAGCAATTTACATGATGAATACAAAATTACAATAAGAAAAACCACTGAATGGGCGACAATTGGCGACAGAAGGTTAAAAAGCTGATGTAGAAAAAGGAGGAATGAAGTAACAAATGGGAGTGGAAAAATTTTGGATCCTTCTATGAAGGGTTATGACATATAACACCCGGTGTCATAACGCCCGTGGGCGTTAAATGTGTAGATTATGGATTAATAAATAAAGTCATAGAAATAAAAAAAATTTTCTATTAGTAACTCAGTTTACAGTCAAAAATGTGATTAAAAAAATCATAAGATATATTTTCAAAATTAGTTTTAGTTTACTATCAAGTATTCGGAAATAAGAAATGTTGAACATTTTCAGGATGCGGAAGTTGGGTAAAATCTAATTCGATTTGGATATTGGGTTTCAAATAGGTTTTCAAGGATCAGAGTTCAAAGTGCGGTCACTAAGTGATTGGGTGACTTGAAGGAAAAGTGCAACGAATATGAAACAGATGTTGTTGTTATGTTATGCTCTGTCTCACTCAGCTTGGTTTATTTTTGAATGTAAAAAAAACGGTAAATGGTGTGGGGTACACTTAAAATGTCACTTTCGTCACTATTTTTTTTTCATTTTTTTTTTGTCTCCCCTTTACCTTATTTTTTTTACTTTTCCTGCAACAAGTTGCAGTTGCAAATAATAAAAATAATAATAATAAATGCCGCACACGCATGCATATTTTTGTGTACTTGTGTTTGTGGCCCTTCTTTTGTGGCATGGAATAAAAAAAACCGACCAAGCAAGAAAATCCATTAAAAAAACAAATCTCGTGGGCGAGAGCGAGAGAGTGAGAGAGCGCTCTTTCTAAAAAAATAAGAAAAAATAAAAATACCATTGCAGGCACATAAAATGCGATTTAATTCCTCCAGCACACACACACATAGGCCAAGAAAAATAAAGCGCAATGAACGAAGTCCAAAAACTCGATCGAGAGAGCCAGAAGAGAGCGAAAAAATGAAGCATAAACGGCATTTTTCCATTGTTGTGCGAAAGGGATGGCAGCTGATCGTGGCGTGGCAATGCGAGTGCGAGCGAGAGAGGCGATGGCTTGGCGCGCATTCGAGATAGTTTGACCGCGGCAGCGACGCCGACGGCGGCTGAGGCAGAGGCTTGGGGCAAGATATGAGACCGTGGGAAAGAACAACGAAAGACATGTTGTTTTTGTGTGTGTGTGTGAGTGGCCACATGTATGCTGGCACACCAGCGGGCGCACAAATAGAGCAACTAAAGAAATTAAGAGAATTAAGAAATAAAAAACTAATAAATATAAATTATTATTAATTAATTCAAAATAATTCCTTAATGTTTTATCTGCATATTTAATATAATTGTTATGTGCTAACCTCGGATCTTAAGAAGTTTTTCTATCATATAATTTATTTAAAATTTATTAAAACACTTCTTTGCTATTTTTAGCAACAAAGCTTATTTCATTATGCCCTCTGCTGTGCGTGTGTGTTTGTTTGTTGTTTGTTTGTGTGTGCGTCTGCGCGCTTTTTGCCTTGCCTTGTCTGTTTCCACGTTACACTTTGTTTGCCCATTCGCTTCGCATGCGCAGCAGTGCTGGCACAAAATAGCCATGCTGAGCTTAACACAGGCGTGACAAAATAAAGCCAACTATTCAGACTCACGAATGTAGCCAGATTTGGCGGGAAAATAGCAGAAGCCGCAACGCAGACTCCAGGAACGCAGGCGCAACGGCGGAGAGAGATCTGCTCTCTTTCTGGCGCTCTCTCTCGCTCTCTGAGAAACAAACATGTGCAGCACAGCTGCAGAGCAACAACAATTTTAAGCGGTCCGTTCCTTTTGTTCGTCTCCTTCGCACATTCGCTCTTCCCCTTGTTGTTATTGCTGGTCTCTCAACCACTTTTTTGTGTTGTTGCTGTGTAAACGTTTATTATTGAAGCATTTTTATGATGTTGCCATAAATCTGTTTATGCACTTCATTGCACAGTGGGTGTGAGGGAGACGCGGCTAGAGTGCTCGAGAGGCGGGGAGGAAATAGAACAGATGCACTTAAGTGTGACCGTTTGGCCCAGGATAAATATTAGTGTTAAAAAAAAATTAAATATTTTTCAAAATATGTACATATATTTATGAAGATATCCAGAATGTCGGACGTGACAGTTTTTTGACGTTAACTTTAAAAACAAGGTATTATGTATCTGAGCTATAAAACTATAAAATAAAAAGTACAAATTTTGGTATATTGGATCTGATGATAATATTACATTAAATATTTTAGACAATTAAAAAAACAAATAAAAATTAAAAATAACAATAGGTATATATTCTCCGTCACTCTTATTTTTAAAGTTAATGTCAAAGAATTGTCACGTCCGACATCCTTCCCACATATAAAACATTTTTTTAATGAGATTTCATGATATGGTATATTGGATCTGATAATAATAGGGGGATTCCCTAAACTGTTGAATTGCTGAATTGTTGAAAATTCAACAAAAAATTTCAGCAATTAAGGGAACGACCCAAAATGACTCCTGTTGAATTTTCAAACAGCTGTTATTTGTTGAAAAATTTCACGGAACTTAAAGCATGTAAAATTTGATTTATTATTGCTAGTTACTGTCTAAAAGTGTTGCCAAGGTAAAAAGAACCACAAATATGCTTTCTAAGTTGATTTTAAAATAAATAATGCGTACTGGTGATACTAAAATGTTACAGAGTTGCCACGACTTTTTAAAAAAGGTGACAACTCTGGCTTTTCAGCAATTCAACAAAATTTTCAGCAGCCCCGAGGCTGATGAATTGCTGAAATTTCTGAAAGTTGACTTTGTATGGAACAGCTGATTAACAGCTGACCAAAATTCAACAATTCAGCAATTCAACAGTTTAGGGAATCCCCCTAATATTACACTAAATTTTGTAGTCAATTTTCCTTTATAAGTACAACTTTTTAAAATTTTATAAATAATTTTACTTTATTTTTGCGTTTAATTTGAAATTTCGGCCTAATAAAGTTGGTTATTATAACGATAACATCGTGGATCATAATGTACATACTTCTCCAATATAAGACAATTATTTAATGGAATTTATTTTTTTATAATTTATAAAATTTTTATATTTATTACTTTTTTTAAACTGGTTACAACTATGAATTATGATGAGGGGGTAATGGATCTAGTCTACCTGTTAATTATTCCGATTATTTTAATATATTTTAAGGATCTACACTAGTACTCCTTATGAAATATGTATATACTAACATAGAAATACCTAAAAAAAAAAGATTCTTATCTATAAGGGATATAATAGAATAATATTTACTCCTTGGCCTTACTCTTACTAATGATGACTCTTCGACTAAGGATCTACACTATTACTCCTTATAAAATATATACATAAAAAATACCTAAAAAAATTATGATTATCTATAAGGAATATAATAGAATAATATTTACTCCTTGGCCTTACTCTTACTAGTGATGACTCTTCGACTAATGATCTACACTAGCACTCCTTATAAAATCTAAATATATACATAAAAATACCTATAAAAATGATTATTATCTATAAGAGATATAGTATAGTAATACTTACCCCTTGGCTTATCCTAACTAATGACCCTACTCTCTTCCAGGTTTCGAGGGCAAGAACTGCGAGCAGAACTTCGACGACTGCCTGGGTCACCTGTGCCAAAACGGAGGCACCTGCGTGGACGGGATCTCGGACTACAGCTGCCGGTGTCCGCCCAACTTCACGGGAAAGTTCTGCCAGGACGACGTGGACGAGTGCGCCCAGCGGGATCATCCGGTGTGCCAGAATGGAGCCACCTGTACGAATACCCATGGCTCCTACAGCTGCATCTGCGTGAATGGCTGGGCGGGATTGGATTGCAGCAACAATACGGATGACTGCAAGCAGGCAGCGTGTTTCTATGGAGCCACCTGCATCGATGGCGTCGGTAGCTTCTACTGCCAGTGCACCAAGGGAAAGACGGGGTTGCTCTGCCACCTGGACGACGCCTGCACCTCGAATCCCTGCCACGCGGATGCCATTTGCGATACGAGTCCGATCAACGGATCCTATGCCTGTTCCTGTGCCACCGGCTACAAGGGCGTCGATTGCTCCGAGGACATTGACGAATGCGATCAGGGATCCCCCTGCGAGCACAACGGCATTTGTGTGAATACCCCGGGTAGCTATCGCTGCAATTGCTCCCAGGGATTCACGGGTCCGCGCTGCGAAACGAACATCAACGAATGCGAATCGCATCCTTGCCAGAATGAGGGATCCTGCCTGGATGATCCCGGCACCTTTCGTTGCGTCTGCATGCCGGGATTCACGGGCACCCAGTGCGAGATTGACATTGATGAATGCCAATCGAATCCCTGCCTGAATGACGGCACCTGCCACGACAAGATCAACGGCTTCAAGTGCAGTTGTGCTTTGGGTTTCACCGGAGCCAGGTGTCAAATCAACATAGACGACTGCCAGTCGCAACCGTGCAGGAATCGTGGAATTTGCCATGATTCCATAGCTGGTTATAGCTGCGAATGTCCACCGGGATACACAGGAACCAGTTGCGAAATCAACATCAATGACTGCGACTCGAATCCCTGCCACAGGGGCAAGTGCATCGACGATGTGAATAGCTTCAAGTGTTTGTGTGATCCAGGATATACGGGATACATTTGCCAGAAGCAGATCAACGAATGCGAATCGAATCCCTGCCAGTTTGATGGCCACTGCCAGGATCGCGTGGGCAGCTACTATTGCCAATGTCAGGCGGGCACAAGTGGCAAGAATTGCGAGGTGAACGTGAACGAATGCCACAGCAATCCCTGCAACAATGGGGCAACCTGCATTGATGGTATTAATTCCTATAAATGCCAATGTGTCCCAGGATTCACGGGCGTCCATTGCGAGAAGAATGTGGACGAGTGCATCAGCAGTCCGTGTGCGAATAATGGTGTATGCATCGATCAGGTTAATGGGTATAAATGCGAATGCCCACGGGGATTCTACGATGCCCATTGCCTCAGTGACGTCGACGAATGCGCCTCGAATCCTTGCGTAAACGAAGGTCGCTGCGAGGACAGCATCAACGAGTTCATCTGCCACTGCCCACCAGGATACACGGGCAAGCGATGCGAACTGGACATCGATGAGTGCAGCAGCAATCCCTGCCAGCATGGAGGAACTTGCTACGACAAACTGAACGCCTTTAGTTGCCAATGTATGCCTGGTTATACGGGTCAGAAATGTGAGACCAACATAGATGACTGCGTCCAGAATCCCTGTGGAAATGGAGGCACTTGCATAGACAAGGTGAATGGTTACAAGTGCGTCTGCAAGGTGCCCTTCACCGGACGCGATTGCGAGAGCAAAATGGATCCCTGTGCCAGTAATCGCTGCAAGAATGAGGCAAAGTGTACGCCGAGTTCGAATTTCCTGGACTTTTCCTGCACCTGCAAACTGGGCTACACGGGACGCTACTGCGATGAGGATATCGATGAGTGCTCCTTGAGTTCTCCCTGCCGCAATGGAGCCAGTTGTTTGAATGTTCCTGGTTCGTATAGATGCCTCTGCACCAAGGGTTACGAGGGTCGCGATTGCGCCATCAACACGGATGACTGCGCCTCGTTTCCCTGCCAAAATGGAGGAACCTGTCTGGATGGAATCGGTGACTACAGCTGCCTGTGCGTGGATGGTTTCGATGGCAAGCACTGCGAGACGGATATCAATGAGTGTTTGAGTCAACCCTGCCAAAATGGAGCCACCTGCAGTCAGTATGTGAATAGTTATACCTGCACTTGTCCCTTGGGATTCTCGGGGATTAATTGCCAGACGAATGATGAAGATTGCACAGAGAGTTCGTGCCTCAATGGAGGAAGCTGCATTGATGGAATCAATGGGTATAACTGTAGCTGCTTAGCGGGATTCTCCGGAGCCAATTGCCAGTACAAGCTGAACAAGTGCGACTCGAATCCCTGCCTGAATGGAGGAACCTGTCATGAGCAGAGGGATGAGTACACGTGCCACTGCCCCAGTGGATTCACCGGAAAGCAGTGCTCCGAGTACGTGGACTGGTGTGGCCAATCACCGTGTGAAAATGGAGCCACCTGCAGCCAGATGAAGCATCAGTTTAGCTGCAAATGCTCCGCCGGCTGGACGGGCAAGCTGTGCGATGTGCAGACCATTTCCTGCCAGGATGCAGCGGATAGGAAAGGCCTGAGTCTCCGCCAGCTGTGCAATAATGGAACGTGCAAGGATTACGGGAATAGCCATGTGTGCTACTGTTCGCAAGGATATGCGGGTAGCTATTGCCAAAAGGAGATTGACGAGTGCCAGTCGCAACCTTGTCAGAATGGAGGAACCTGCTTGGATTTGATAGGAGCCTATGAATGCAAGTGTCGCCAGGGTTTCCAGGGGCAAAATTGCGAACTGAACATAGATGATTGTGCCCCGAATCCCTGCCAGAATGGAGGAACCTGCCACGATCGCGTGATGAACTTTAGTTGCAGCTGTCCACCGGGAACAGTGGGCATTATTTGCGAGATCAACAAGGATGACTGCAAACCGGGAGCCTGTCACAACAATGGTAGCTGCATTGATCGCGTGGGAGGCTTTGAATGCGTCTGCCAGCCGGGATTTGTGGGTGCCCGTTGCGAGGGAGACATCAATGAGTGCCTGAGTAATCCCTGCTCGAATGCGGGGACTCTCGACTGCGTTCAGTTGGTGAATAACTATCACTGCAACTGCAGACCCGGTCACATGGGTCGTCACTGCGAGCACAAGGTGGATTTCTGTGCCCAGAGTCCTTGCCAGAATGGCGGTAACTGCAATATCCGGCAGAGTGGCCACCACTGCATCTGCAATAATGGTTTCTACGGGAAGAACTGCGAGTTATCTGGCCAGGATTGCGATTCGAATCCCTGCCGCGTGGGCAACTGTGTGGTGGCCGACGAGGGATTCGGCTATAGATGTGAATGTCCGCGAGGAACCCTAGGTGAACACTGCGAGATCGACACGCTGGACGAGTGCTCGCCGAATCCCTGCGCCCAGGGAGCCGCCTGCGAGGATCTCCTGGGGGATTTCGAGTGCTTCTGCCCGAGCAAATGGAAGGGCAAGCGTTGCGATATCTACGATGTGAGCTATCCGGGTTGGAATGGTGGCAACGATCGATATGCAGCCGATTTGGAGCAACAGCGAGCGATGTGCGAGAAGCGTGGATGCAACGAGAAGCAGACGAATGGCATTTGCGATTCGGAGTGCAATACGTATGCCTGTAATTTCGATGGCAACGACTGCTCGCTGGGCATCAATCCGTGGGCCAATTGTACGGCTAACGAGTGCTGGAATAAGTTCAAGAATGGCAAATGCAACGAGGAGTGCAACAATGCGGCATGCCACTACGATGGGCATGATTGCGAGAGGAAACTGAAGAGTTGCGATAGCCTTTTCGATGCCTACTGCCAAAAGCACTATGGCGATGGCTTCTGCGACTATGGATGCAACAATGCCGAGTGCAGTTGGGATGGTTTGGATTGCGAGAATAAAACACAGTCGCCTGTTTTGGCAGAGGGAGCAATCTCGGTGGTAATGCTGATGAACGAGGAGCAATTCCGTGAGATTCAGGCGCAGTTTTTGAGGAACATGAGCCACATGCTGAGAACTACAGTGAGGCTAAAGAAGGATGCCTTTGGCAGGGATATGATAACCAAATGGAGGGATAATCAACCGGTAGCCGAGATTGATAACACTGATTTTGCCAGGAAAAACAAGATATTATATACGCAGCAGGTTTATCAAACAGGCATACAGATACAGATTGAAATTGATAACAGGAAATGCACTGAATGCTTTACCCATGCGGTGGAGGCAGCTGAATTCCTGGCTGCCACGGCGGCAAAGCATCAGTTGCGCAACGATTTTCAGATCCACAGCGTGGGCGTGGTCAAGAATCCGGGGGATGATGATAGCGGAGAACCTCCTGCTAATGTTAAGTATGTCATCACAGGGATTATCCTGGTCATCATCGCCTTGGCCTTTGCTGGAATGGTCTTGAGCACGCAGAGAAAGCGCGCACATGGCGTCACCTGGTTCCCCGAAGGATTCCGCGCCCCAGCGGCTGTGATGTCCCGCAGGAGAAGAGATCCCCATGGTCAGGAGATGAGGAACCTCAACAAGCAAGTGGGTCTGCAGTCGCAGGGCGTCGGCCAAACAGGAGCCCATTGGTCGGATGATGAGTCCGATATGCCGCTGCCCAAGCGACAAAGGAGTGCTCCCATCTCTGTGATAAACCAGCAGGGATTGGGCAACAATGGTGGCTATGCCAGCGATCACACGATGGTCAGCGAGTACGAGGAGGCGGACCAGAGGGTCTGGTCGCAGGCCCACCTGGATGTGGCCGATGTGAGGGCCATAATGACGCCGCCGGCGCATCAGGATGGGGGAATTGGATTATCTGGCATCTCCAACAAACACGATGTGGATGCCAGAGGACCACATGGTCAGACGCCTCTGATGATTGCTGTGCGCGGAGGCGGAGGCCTGGATACCGGCGAGGATATCGAGAACAACGAGGACAGCACGGCGCAGGTGATCTCCGATCTGCTGGCCCAGGGAGCCGAACTGAATGCCACCATGGACAAAACGGGCGAGACGTCGCTGCATTTGGCGGCGCGATTCGCTCGAGCGGATGCCGCCAAGCGGCTGCTGGACGCCGGAGCGGATGCCAATTGCCAGGACAACACGGGAAGGACGCCACTCCACGCGGCCGTGGCTGCCGATGCAATGGGTGTGTTCCAGATACTCCTGCGCAATAGGGCCACCAATTTGAATGCCAGGATGCATGATGGCACCACTCCTTTGATACTCGCCGCTCGCCTGGCCATCGAGGGAATGGTGGAGGATCTTATCACCGCCGATGCGGATATTAATGCAGCGGATAATTCAGGAAAGACCGCTCTCCATTGGGCAGCGGCAGTGAATAATACAGAGGCGGTGAATATACTCCTCATGCATCATGCCAATCGGGATGCCCAGGATGACAAGGATGAGACGCCGCTGTTTTTGGCCGCCCGCGAGGGAAGCTACGAGGCCTGCAAGGCGCTGCTGGATAACTTTGCCAATCGCGAGATCACCGATCACATGGACCGACTGCCACGCGATGTGGCCAGCGAGCGACTGCATCACGATATCGTTAGGTTGCTGGATGAGCATGTTCCTCGATCACCGCAAATGCTCAGCATGACGCCGCAGGCGATGATTGGATCACCGCCGCCGGGACAACAGCAGCAGCAGCAGCAGCTGATCACCCAGCCCACGGTGATTTCCGCCGGAAACGGAAATGGCAATGGCAACGCCAGCGGCAAGCAGAGCAGCCAGTCGGCCAAGCAGAAGGCGGCCAAGAAGGCCAAGTTGATCGAGGGCAGCCCCGACAACGGACTCGATGCCACCGGCGGTGGAAGTCTGCGTCGCAAGGCCAGTTCAAAAAAGACAAGTGCGGCCTCAAAAAAGGCCGCCACCTTGAATGGCCAGCTGACTGGAGCGGCCCAGGCCCAAGCCCAAGCGGCCCAAGCTGCGGCGGCGGCGGCGGCAGCAGCGGCGGCAGCAGCTGCCATGACCATGTCCCACGAACTGGAGGGATCGCCGGTGGGCGTGGGCATGGGCGGCAATCTGCCCAGCCCCTACGACACCAGCTCCATGTACTCGAACGCGATGGCCGCTCCGCTGGCGAACGGCAATCCGAACACGGGCGCCAAGCAGCCGCCGAGCTATGAGGATTGCATCAAGGTAAGTGAATAAGCGAATTCTTTAGAATTTTTAGTTTGTAGTTAGAAATGAAATGGGACAGTAGGTTGGTCGGATTTTGATCAGAAATTATCCCAGAGAGCTTGTCTTGGAGCCAAAAGAAGGTTACCTATTTTGATTTTCATTAAAAACGCGAATTCTTCAGATTTTTTGTTTAAATAATAATGCAGTTATTCATTAATTGAACACTTTTAACAAAGACTACATTTTTGGCTTCAAGTTATCCTAAGAGGGGTTTTTTTTAAGCTATTAGAGGGTTACTTGTTTTATTTTTCATAAAAAAACGCGAATTCTTTAGCATCTTTAGTTTTTAGTTTGAAATGAAATGGGCCAGTAGATTGATCCAATTTTTGGTTAGAAATTATCCCACAGGGGCTGTCTTTGAGCCAAAAGAAGGTTAACAATTTTCTTGTTCATTAAAATCACGAATTCCTTAGATTTTATTTACATAATACTGCATAAATTTTGGGCAAGAAAATTCCTAAATTGGGGATTCCTTAAAGGTTCCAAGTGGTTATTTGTTATTCATTAGAATCGCGAATTCTTGAGCTTCTCTTGTTCGTTAATTTGATTAAGTATTAGCAGGAAATAAAATTGTATTATAGTGACTAAATTTTGGCCAAAAAATTTCCTTAATTGGGGATTCCTTTGAGGTACCAAGAGGTTATACAATTTGTTAATCATTAGAAGCGCTAGTTCTTGAGATTTCCTTGTACTTTTATTCTATTAAATAGCTGCAGGGATTTTTAATTTATTATACATAATAATATAATTTATAAGCTATTCCATATACCAACGATATTTTAAACTACATGTATTAATTATATTTCAGAATGCGCAATCGCTGCAGTCGCTGCAGGGCAACGGCCTGGACATGATAAAGCTGGACAACTACGGCTACTCGATGGGCTCGCCATTTCAGCAGGAGCTGCTCAACGGCCAAGGACTCGGGATGAATGGGAACGGGCAGCGGAACGGCGTCGTCGGCGGCGTCCTGCCCGGCGGTCTGTGCGGAATGGGCGGCCTGACCGGAGCCGGAAACGGAAATAGCCACGAGCAGGGACTCAGTCCGCCGTACTCGAACCAATCGCCGCCGCATTCGGTGCAGAGCAGCCTGGCGCTTTCGCCCCACGCTTATTTGGGTGAGTTTCGAATTAATTGCTATTGTTAGTATGGTATATCTTTTGAGATATAGGGCTTTTATAATTATTCCATATAATTTGTGTGATACAAATAAAATTGTTATGCTAAACATGCTAAAAACTTCTCCATGTTTTAAATATATTTTTTAACAAGTTAAAACGATAAAAATATAATAAATTTGTGGAATAAAAACAGTTGATAAAAATAAATTGGAATGTTAAACATGTTTTAAGTATATTTTTTAACAATGTGGAATAAAAACTATTTAAAGATTAATAAGTATTTTTTTTACTTTCATTTGTATTCCTTATAAATTGTATGATAAAAATAAATTATAAAATTAACCAAATTCTAAAAAATTAAAACTTCAAACAAAATGAAAGATAAAGTAGTAAAGCCTAATGATTTTATTTAATTATATATTTTTGTACCTACCTTTTGATAATATAATAATTATTACTTATTTTCCTGCACTTATTTTATTAATATTTAAAAAATATGTTTGCATAAGCCCTACGCTTTTTAAAGATTTATGATATTTGATTTTTATTTTGAATAGTATTTCTATTCCTATACCTTATTAATCGACTTATTTGAACGTTACAGGCTCTCCATCGCCGGCCAAGTCGCGACCCAGTTTGCCCACCTCGCCAACTCACATCCAGGCGATGAGGCATGCCACACAGCAGAAGCAGTTCGGTGGCAGCAATCTGAACAGCCTGCTGGGCGGTGCCAACGGAGGGGGCGTGGTGGGCGGAGGAGGAGGCAACGGTGGACAGGGGCCGCAGAACTCGCCGGTGAGCTTGGGCATCATCTCGCCGACGGGCAGCGATATGGGCATCATGCTCGCCCCGCCGCAATCCTCGAAAGGCAGTGCAATAATGCAGACGCTATCCCCCCAGCAACAGCAACAGCAGCAGCAGCAACAGCAGCAACAACAGCAGCATCAGCAGCAGCAACAGCAACAGCAGCAACAGCAGCAGCAGCAACAGCAGCAGCAACTCGGAGGCCTGGAGTTCGGTTCAGCGGGCTTGGACCTGAATGGATTTTGTGGATCTCCGGGTAGGTCACTGGGTAATAATAATCAACTGTTGGATTTTAATGACCATTGCTTGGTCAAACAAAAACCAATAATACTTGCGGTTTTCCTGCGATAACATATACATATAAGTATATTTTGCACTGGAACCATTATGGGTGTTATTTTTATCTGAAAGCTTGGCCAAAATAATAATTTTTGGGTATTTTTTTTAATTTTTTAACCCACGTAATTTAAAAATTTATAAATTTATAAAAAAAAATAGGCATGGCCATATCTTCGCTTCTGTCAAATGGATTTTTTTTTAACTTTTTTAAAAATCTCTTTTTAATGGTGTGATAGTGTCATAAAAATTAGATATCGTTTCGAGACCATGAAAAAAATCTCGATACGTTTCACAAAGAATCACTCATATATAAAAAAAAAACTAATCACTTTATTTTTATCTGAAAGCTTGGCAAAAATAATAATTTTTGGGTATTTTTATTTATTTTTTAACCCACGTAATTTAAAGTTAGAAATTAATTAATAAAAAAAAATAGCACCTGTCAAATGTATTTTTTTTAGCTTTTTTAAAAATCCTTTTTTGAGACCATGAAGAAAATATCAATACGTTTTACAAGAATCACTCGTATATAAAAAAAAAACTAATCACTCTACTTTTGTCCTCTTGCAGACTCATTTCACTCGGGTCAAATGAATCCGCCCTCGATACAAAGTTCAATGTCCGGCTCGTCGCCGTCGACCAACATGCTGTCGCCGTCGTCGCAGCACAACCAGCAGGCCTTCTACCAGTACCTAACGCCACCGAGCCAGCATTCCGGCGGCCACACGCCGCAGCATTTGGTCCAGACGCTGGACAGCTACCCGACGCCCTCGCCGGAGTCGCCCGGCCACTGGTCCTCCTCCTCGCCGCGATCGAATTCCGATTGGAGCGAGGGCGTCCAGTCGCCGGCGGCCAATAATCTCTACATTTCCGGCGGCCATCAGGCCAACAAGGGATCCGAGGCCATCTACATTTGACCGTGAACCCCGAAACCGATGATATGGAAATGGAGATGGTTTGCCAAGGATAACAGCAGAGGGGACTCTTAAAGAGTCCGCGGCTACGTTCTATCTAAAATGCTATATAATAATAATAATAATATTAATATGTAATTCTCTAATCCCTACGATTATGTATTTTTTCAACGCGACTTTTATTTTTTTTTTTATCGTGTGTGTCTATAAGTTTTAGCATTTAGATCGAAATACGCAATTCTGGCTGAAGAAGAAGCGTCATAAATTGTAGTAACTTAAATTATTTTTATGCTTGTTGTACAGTGCGCGCCGATCGCATATATATATATATAAAGATATATATATATATATATCTACTCATAGATATACCAGTTAAGAGCTCGTTTTGTGGCGCATTTTATTTTATTGTCGTAACATCGTCGGAGCTTCCAGTAAAAAAGAAAAGAAAGAAATTATAACCAGCGAGAGGAGAAACTAAACTTAGCGCAAATTCTGATTGATCGATTTAACGTTGGTGGGACATTTGTAGTTGTAAGCGAACCCATTATATCACTAGGCCATAAGTCTAGGCTAAGTTTTTATCGAATTCTACATTTAATTATGGCCCACATGCTATATAAATATATACATATATTTCGTAGTTCTGTAGGTTTCGAAACTGAAGTGCTTATATAAACAAAATTGTTAGACGTACACCGCATCAAACCTTTTTTTTTACACCAAGTTTTTTTTTTTATTATTATTATTATGACTATTATGTATTATTACATATTGACTAAGCTAAACTGTAAAAAGATTCTCATAACTGTTTGATTTAAGTTGACAAAAAAAAAACAAAGGAAATTGCAAAAATTATACAAAAATCCCCAGCGAGAAAGTATAATGCTGATTAAAAGAGAAAAAAAGCACAAAAAACAACAAAAAAGACAGTAACCAGCCAAGTTTTCTATATATATAAGGCCCCCCATTATGATCTAAGTTGATAAATAGATATTTTCAAAAAATATACAACCAGAAAAAGACACTAAAAAGTCCACAAATACGATTTTGCCGTTCGATTTGCTCTATTTATAATGCGAACGGTATGCTTTCTTTCGTCTATATTTTGTGTAAGTTTTTAATGTGTAAATTGTAAAATTATTTGTTTTCCTAACTTAAACAGCAAGACAGCAAAACAAAAATGCAAACTTTTTGAGATAAATAATAAATATTAAATAATTATTTTAAAAACAACATGTGTTTTTTTCTTTAATTTCACATATTTTTTGGGTGATTGAATACGCGAATTCTTCAACTTTTAAGGGTTAAGACTAGTCACTATTTGCGAAGTTAACCTTTAACCCCCGAATTAACCCATAGGAAAAGAGGTGTTTTTTTTTTGGTGTGGTCAAGGTGTACATTTAATTTAAATTAATTACTCATTAAGTGTTCTTAGTGCTCCCTTGCGGCCACGCCCCCAACCGACCGCCGCCCACGACACATCGCATGATGACGTTGAATTACATAGTTTTGGTGTTGTGTGCGTGGATTTTCTTATAGACAAGCTCAAAAAAAAACAGACTACATATTAAGGATATTGTTTTTGGAATATTTCGACTAGATTTCCTTCTTGGTTTCCTCCGTTTCCAGTGGTGCTGTGGTTGTTGTGGTTGTACTCGTTGTCGTGTGAGGATTTTCGGGTTCCTTGGCATCACCGTCCACATTGGGGGTCTTCTTGGACCCCGGAACAAAGGGGCAAACGCCGCCCTTGCACTCGAAGGGGAAGTCGGGCCCCTTCTTGATCACATTGCCCTCGGCGTCCTTCTTCTCCCAGGGATTCCAGTAGCGCAGAATTATCGGCTGAATGAACTTGTGCCAAATGTAAAGCAGCAGCGGAATGATAAAGCACGGTACGCACACCATTGTGCTAGTTTGTTGTCGAGGAAAACCTGTTAATTTTTCGAATTTCAATACATCTAACGATTGTTAATCTTTCGGTTCTGTTTCGAACTTACTGGCTGGGCCTGAGTTCGCTTCCAAGGGGCGCTTTGTTTTCCTTTATTATGGATTTAATAAAATCTATTTTATTTTGGAGCACAGCGTGGCCAGATTTCTTTTATGATTCATACCCCGATAACACCACGAATAAACTGTTATCTTCAAAATATACCAGATGGAAATACCAGAAAATAGCCAGGACCGAAACCTCACAGTCGAATTCAGCCCGCACTCGAACCGTTTTACATAAAGTTTTTCAGGAAACATGATAAAACATGAAATATTTCCCAATTCCTTAATTTTAGAAATTAAAAGTTTTGTTTTTCTTCATATCCATCATTTTATTATATCTCCACAGTATTAACCCATTAAAGGACACCGGTAGGGAACTCCTGAGCGACAACAGTACTCCCTGCCCGCCTGCAGATTCGTATTGACCCATTGGTTGTGACAGTTTTTGATGAACAAGTAGGCGCGTTCCTTGTGACAATCGTGACCCAGAGCGGAGCAAACTATATTTGCGGAATTCGGCAGGTGCTGGACGATCTGAAATTGTAATGGAGTGATTACTGTATTGATTTTAGAAAACTATCTATGGAAAAAACTCTTAAAGGTAAAATTTTTGACTAGCAAAATAAAGAAAAATATTAAATGATAAATTCTAATAAAACAAGTAAAAAGAATTTTAAAAATGCATCTTAAAAAATACAATTTTTTTAAATAATTCAATTTTTTTTAAAAATGCAATTATTTACGATTAATTACAATTTTGTTTAAAATTTTAAATGTTAAATTATACAAAAATTAAGGAATAATAATATAGTAAATATAGAAAGTCCCAAATAATTCGTCTTAAATTTTAAATTTTTAATCAGTGTTTACTGATGTCTACTGTACAGTACTCACCGCCTCCAGGCACTTGGTTTGGCACTGCTTGCGACCGATGGCATTGCAGGGGAACATGCGATCCAGTTCCTGGTGGATCAACGGTTTCGTGGGCAGTCCGTTGGGGATTTGCGAGGAGAGGAAGACGCCGCAAGTGCAGGGAACTGGCTGATTATCCTGCGGGGCCAGGACCGCTGACGATGATACCGATGGTCCCGATGATCCCGACAATATGGGCGCGGGAATTGTGTTGACCAAACTGCTGCTCGAGGTGGTCGAGATCGTTGGGTTGACCGTGGACGATTCTCCCGCTTTTGTGGATCCCTCCGACGATCCCGAGAAGGTGACCTCCAGGAGGCTCGTTTCTGTGCTACTGCCATTGCTAATCGACTCGGAATTAGTTTCCAATTCGCCCTTGGGCGTGGTCACAATCACAAACTCCACGGCGGTGGGCCAATCTTCTTCGGTGGTGCTGGTGGTGCTACTCATGGTGGTGCTGCTCACGGTGTTGGCCTCCTGCTTGAGACCCTTGCTCCTCAGGCGCTTCTCCTTAACGATATTTCCATTCCCGTACAGCGGCTTCTTGTACACTATTTTCGAGGCCTCCAATTGGATGGCCAGCAGCAGCGTCAAAAGCAGCAGGAAATTCTTAAAGGCAGCTAACAAATATAAAAATATATAAAATATTAAAAAATAATTTTTATAAAATCAAGCTTGAAATATAAAACTTATTTTTCAAATATTAATAATCCTTTTAAAACGACTATTTAATATTTTAAAGCACACCCAATATTTTTTGATAAGTATTTTTTGAATATTTACCAATGAAAACCCAGTTCTTACCCATCTTGTTATCTCTGACTCACTGAATACTTCTGTCTTCTGCATCAACCATTTTATATGGCATTTTTCACTTGACTTGCAGTTTTTCAAGATCTCATTTTTTGCGCTTAAACTTCAAAGTGACCCCCAACCAAGTTCAAGTTGTGAGCACCGACAAATTGTGTCAGGGTAATCCCTGATTAAGCAGAATTTTCACCCAGCAATTGCACTTCATTCATTTAGAGAAAAAAATAAGAAGAAAAACGGAATACTTCCGAAATTTAAATAGTTTCACTTTTTGATTTAAGTCCTGATTTTGTGTATTTTAATTATATAATTTTAAGAGCCTTATGGAAAAACAAGAATCTTAAAAAAGTCTTTCACAACATAATTGAATGTTGTTGCTTAACAAAGAATATTTTCAAGAGTATAAAAAAATTTATTGGCTAGAAAAAAATCATAATTTCAGGAAAATAGTAAATCCATCGTTCAGCAATGGGCATTTCCAGGAAAAAGTCAAGAACTGGCTGGACAGATAACCTTAATTTCACCATAAATACGAGAGCGTCCAAAATATAGAACAAAATATTAGAATTAAAAAATCTATACTGCGTCACTCTTGTTTTTAAATTTTGCGTCCGTCACCCTGGAAATATGTCTGGCAAATAGAATACCGCCACGATCAATTACTACCGTCTTTCAAAACCATTATATTTAATTTGCTATTTATAATTACCAAAAATTTGTTCGAAATTGTGCTCTTGGCAACATGGTTTTTATGGTAATTCCCAAGAAACGCGATCTCTGACCTCGTTTAATCTCTATGACGTGCGTTTTGCAGCTTATCAGCAATATTTGAGTTTCCTTTCTCTCAAGAAGGCATCCGAATTTCAGTTCGATTTAAAAGTTGTCTAAGAGAAGTTGCAGTGATCGAAAATGCTGAGACTCGTGGTCTCCTTGTTCGTCCTTAACTTCTTTGGACCGTTGAGCGCCTTCCAGGACAATGGATCCTTCATTTGCCAAGTGACCGACGCACCGAGTCAGTGTGGCGCCTTTTGCCTGGCCGCACTGCATCCGCTTTTCGACGATAACCAAAGAAGCTGGGCGAAACTAAACCAAATCGATGAAAAAGTGGAATGGCTACGCACCAAATTGGAAAATCAGGAGAACTCCATGCAAGCCAAATTGGATGCCCAACTTCAGGCGATACAGAAAATGCTGAAGGACCAAAACTCAGCCCTTGCTCAATCTGGTGACACGAGGGGTCGACTACAAACTCAAAACCTAAATGGAAACCAACTTCTGACGCCGCAGAACCAACCAACTTTGAAGATCATCGATCCAAGATTTGAGCTGATTGGATCTACATTTTTTTATATCGAAAAATTTATTAAGAAAACCTGGGATGAAGCTGCAGGAACATGTCGTGAAATGGGCGGCTCTTTGGCGGCATTCAAAACCCAAGAGGAAATCACAGCCATAATGCCAAAACTTAATAAAGCCTATTACTGGACTGGCATCAAGAAGAAAGATGGCGAGTTCGTTTCTTCGGCCTCTGGGAAGTGGAATATGGCTTTAAAGTGGCCCAGCGGAGAGCCCAACGATGACGGTGACTGCGTTATGATAAATCATTTGGGGATGGACGATTACGTTTGTAGTAATTATAATTTTTTTATTTGCCAATCAGATAATGAAACATAAATAGACGCAATGTAAGTTGTAAGCTGTATATTTAATTTAAAATGTCTTAAAAAACGATAAAAATGTATGATAAATATAATACAAATTTACTTTATCTTGGCATTATTTTATTTTTTTTTACATTGATTTGTTGATTCATTGATTTGTGACTAGCGCCATAATTATAAGTGCGCACTTGTAGCGCTGGGATACTAAATAAATAAATTAAAAATTAAATTTGTTACTCTTTTTTCCAAAATATTTACGATTATTTGGATTATTGATTATACTTATTTATTTCCATGATTCCGTTATTTGCATAACTGTAATTTGGTTGGGAGAACGTTTCTACGATTTATTTTACGGGCAAAAACATAATTTAATTTTGTTACTAAATAAATTATTGTGAAATTATTGACAACATTATTATATGGCTTTTGTGGTAGTTCCCAAAAAGCACTGATACGCAATCTCTTAGCCCAACATTCGTAGACGTTTGACCCCATTTAATCTCAGTGACGTGCGTTTTGCACCTTATCAGCAATATTTCGGGTTTCTTGTCTACCAAGAAGACATCTCAATTTCAGTTCAATTTAAAAGTTGTCTAAGAGAAGTTGCAGTGATCAAAAATGCTGAGACTCGTGGTCTCTTTGTTCGTCCTTAACTTCTTTGGACCGTTGAGCGCCGTCGAAGGTCAACTTGTGGCGGAAAACTCAGACATGAAGAATGATTTGTTCGTCAGAATGGAAAATGTGGAGAAATTCATGCAAACCAAAATAGATGCCCAATTGCAGGCGATACAGAAAATGCTGGAGGACCTAAATGCTGGAGGTCGAAAACAGGTAAGCCAACTTCTGACGCTACAGAACCAACCGAAATCCCAAACCCATATTGAAACCTTTCTTTACACACAACCCTTACCCTTTCGCTTCTTCTTCTTTTAATTCCAAGATCATCGATCCGAGATTTGAGCGGATTGGATGTAGATATTTTTATATCGAACATAATATTGAGAAAAACTGGGATGAGGCTGCGGAAACATGTCGAGAAATGGGCGGCTACTTGGCGGCTTTCGAAAACCAAGAGGAAATCGAAGCCATAATGCAGAAACTTAAGAAAGAGCAGTACTACTGGTACTGGACTGGCATAAAGCATTTGGAGGAGGATGGCAAGTTCATATCTACGGCCTCCGGGAAGACGACTAACGTTTTTAAGTGGTACAGCGGACAGCCCGGAAATAGCGGTGCATGCGTTCTGCTAGATTTTATGGGGATGCGTGATTTCGATTGTAGGCTTAAAAGTTCTTTTATTTGCCAATCAGATAACGAAACATAAAGAGAAGCAATGTAAGTCGAAAGCTATATGTATGTTTGTTAGTAAACATCTTTGTATTATACTTATTTTTATAAATGTGCATGTGAATATATTTATTTTACCATTTCTTGCACACAAAAAAAAATCAACTGTTATAATTGTCAATCAATCCCCAACCACAAAAAATAGTTCAATTCTTCTAAATAAATAGTTACTTTCACAACAACAAATACACACAATTAGCAAGGACACACACCTATATCCTTGACAAAATTGAAATTTTTTTTGGTTGGGGTCTTTTTGACAATTTTTTTTTTGTGTGTGCAAAATAAAAACGTTATCTTTGTTAACAAATTCAGTCGGTGCTTTTGTTGGGATTATGCAGTAGTTTTTGTTTATTTATAAAATATTATTAAAGCTATTTTGTTTAAATGTATCCAGCTGGGAAAAATTAAATTAATATTTTACTGTTTTGTATGACGAAAATGTCAGAAACACAAAATCGGTAGGTGTGTGTACGCGCTATGACAGGAAGTTGTCTTCGCTAGCAGACAGTTTGTGGTATATTCAAGTAACCAAAATGGTACTTCAAAAATACCGAAAACATGTAAGGTGGGTGACACCACTGCGTTAGCAAAGACACCGTCCTAACATTTTAGCAGAACTGTTATTGGATTTCCTTTGGCATTTTTAAAATAATCCAACAACCCAAGCTATTTGTGCCACAAAATAAGCCAAAATTTTCGATTTGCAAAATGTATTTGATTAGATAATACGCGTGTGAAGCTTTCGATAAAACGGTCAACAGTGGTTAACAGTATTCACCACGGTGCGCTTAACAGCACGCGCCGCCGGACGTGGTGAGTTCGCTGGAGTGCAAGTGTGGTGAGCACCGCCATTGCTGGAGAGCCGCAAACAAAAACAAAAACAGAAACAGAAAGCACACTGAAAACAGCGATTTGAAACGCCTCTAATTACCCGATAAACATCCCGATGGCCGATAAGCGACGGCTAAGAAACCCGTAAGACCCAGCGATAAGATCCAGATAAGATTGGGATTGGAATTGGAATCGGAATCGCCACGAATCACCACAAATCACCATCGCCCGGCACTCAATTCACTTGCACATCGGGGCATTAGGACTCAAAAATTGGATTACCATAATATCACCATCATAATGCCCGAATACGTACCGGCACGCGGCTTCAAGGAGATGGAGAATCTGCTCAAGCTCTACGACACCAAGAGCTGCCCCATCTACATCTACTTCTACGGCGAGAAGGACAAGCAGGGACGCAGCTGGTGTCCGGACTGCGTGGCGGGTAGGTGACGAACGCCCCTGCAGGGGCCTCACTTTGGTTAAATATAATATGTAGTGTTAGGTGTAGGTGACGAATGCCCCTAAGGGTTAATTTATTTTTTAAATATTTTCAAGATTTGAGTAATTGTGTGTCAAGTAGGTGACGAGTGCCCCTGCAGGGGCCCTACCTTGGTTAAGTATTATAAGTATTGTTAGGTTTAGGTGACGAATGCCCCTAAAGGTTAATTTATTTTTCAAATATTTTTAAGATTTGACTAAATGTGTGTCACGTAGGTGACGAACGCCCCTGCAGGGGCCTCACTTTGGTTAAGTATTGTATGTATTCTTAGGTTTTTAGGTGACGAATGCCCTAAAGGTTAATTTATTTTTCAAATATTTTCAAGATTTGAGTAATTTTGTGTCAAGTAGGTGACGAACGCCCCTGCAGGGACCTCACTTTGGTTAAGTATTATATGTATTGTTAGGTTTAGGTGACGAATGCCCCCAAAGGTTAATTTATTTTTCAAATATTTTCAAGATTTGAGTAATTGTGTGTCAAGTGGGTGACGAGTGCCCCTGCAGGGTCTGTACTTGCTAGTTACTTTGGTCAAGTTTACATAAATACTATTATGTATTGTTAGTTTTGTAGGTGACAAAAGCCCCAAAAGGTTTATTTATATAAATATTTGTTTTGATATGTAGGGTAAGTGACGAATGCCCCTGAAAGTCTTGTACATTATTATATTGTTTTAAAATTTAATAGTTATAGTTGATATTTTATTTATTTAGTGTTAGTTTTGTAGCTGCCAAATCCCTTTTAAAGGTACCCAACTATAAGTGATTTTATATGTGAACATATTTTTATAGGATTTTGTTATTTGCGGTAAAGTTATAAACGCTCCTACAGGGTTGGTGTTATACATATATCATTATTAGGACACCAATATTTGGGTGATTTTATATATTTATACTTAAAAGATTTTATTAATTTTTACACGATTTTTGTTTTAATACATTTTCTTAAAAGTACAGATATTTTTGTTTATAGTATAATTTGGTTAAATATTTTTAAACTGTTTTTATTTATTGTGTTATTATTTTATTTTACATACTTTTAAGATTCTTGTGTCTAAGTTTAGGCTTACTTTGTATATCCTCACAGAAAATTACTTTAGTGAGGGATTAATTCTTCAGAACTGATACTAAAAAAGAGGAAAAATAATTAAAATAATTTCTTAATATATCAATACCTACCTACCTACCACCTGAGAACCCCACAAGTAAACCCGTTTCCCCTTCCATTTCCAGCCGAGGATACGATTATGACCGCCTTTCGCACGAACGCCCCTGCGGACTGCATTATCCTGGTGGTGGACGTCGGCAATCGGGAGTTCTGGATGGCCAAGGACAACGCGTTCCGCAGTCCGCCCTACTCGGTGGACGGGATTCCGGCCCTGCTCCACTGGAAGGGGCCGGAGCGTCTGGACGGCGATCAGCTGCTGAAGAAGAATCTCCTGGAGCTCTTCTTCGAGGAGACCGATACGCGCAAGAGCACTGTGTAGTCACTCAATAAAATGCGATTTGAGCTCGAACTCGAGTCTTTGTTTCTCTCCAGAGAGAGAGGGAGAGCGTGAGAGCGTGAGAGAGTGCTGTTCTATGCTCCACGCGGAGAAAAGTATGAGTGAAAAGTGGGGCCAGAAATGGGGGGATACCAGAATGAGTGGAAAGTTTCGGGCCAGCAGCGCATCGCTCGGCATTTTCTCGTTTATTTGCACGCATGTCGTCGACCAGGACGAATCGTTTGGCAGAACGCGGCTGAAAGTAAAGGAAACGGAAACGGGACAATAACGGTACTAGCGGCACACGCGTCTAACGGTAAACACGCGTGCCAACGCGCCATCTCGCTCGCACGCGCTAATGCCGCGATTTTAGTTTTATTCATTTTTTTTGCAAGTGTTCCAACAACAACCACAACATAACCCAAGTAAAAACAAACCCGAAAACGATCATAAAAAATAGGTAAAAAATATATGAAAAACAAGTAAACAAAAAATATGTTAAAATATATGAAACACACGACCGCACAGCGAAATTAACTACGATGCAATATTTTAGATAATTTAACTAAAATAGTTACTTAACTTAAGCCCTAAAAATGCATAAACCAAAATATAACCGAAAACCTAGTTGGTTTTTTTTTACTCTTTAATGGCATAGTATCGAAACAAAATATTAAAAAAATGTTAATTAAATCTAAATTTAATTGCCATAAAATGTTTTGGTAAAAAAAACCCCAAAAATCAGGCCGAAACTAAAAAAGGAGATTTTTCTAGGCCCTAGAAACTCAACCTAACTTCAAAACCCTGTTGCTTTTATGCCATTTTTTTTTACTACCAAGTCAAATAGAAATATACAACATATTATACAAATTCTTAAAAAATGGGGAAACGCATAACGAAAGTACGAAAATTGTAACTTCTTATCAAAAACCCTGTTGCTTCGGTTCCCTTACTTTTAATAAGACTTACTTTTTATGCAAATGATTTGGTCACTTTTATGTTTAACCATTGATAAATTAATAATTAAATTAAAAAGAAGAAGCCGGAGAGAGAGAGAGGGAGAATGCGGGTCAGAGAGAGAGCCATAAACATATACCACGATCCACTTGGCGGAATAGTGCTAATAAAAACGCGAAGATGACAACAAAATTATTTGAACAACTCGCAGCGAATGGGTAAATGGAAAAGTAAAAAACAAATAAATTAAATTATATTGGCAGCGATCGAACAGGGAGCAAACGAAAAAAAAATATGATGAAGATTGCAAATATATATTTTTCCTTTATCAGAATTATGAGGCACAGATCAAATAATTTGTATTATTTATTGGGTCTCCTAAAATAAATATTTTGTTAAATTATGTATAATTAATGTTGTTCCTCTGATAAATAAAAGTTAGATTAAAAACTAGAAGTGATTCAGCCTAAAAATATGCGTTTACTTTTTGCTATCTATATAGCATGAGTAACTATTTTGGTTGGATTTTAAAAGTAAAAGATGTATTTAAAATATATTTTTATTAATGACAAATATTTTATTTTTGTTAATGTTGAAATGTTAATGTTATGTATTTTTAAAATGCCTTTTAAAATTCATCGTTTTCCACACACCAAATTGCAATCGTGCCGATAATTCCTTTCATAAAATTTTTGAGAAAAATATATTTCCCTATGCCTTGACCCTGGCATATTTATTGTGGCGAAAATCTAATTTAATGAGCAGTCAGAAAGCATTGGAAATTTATAAGAAACGAAATCAAATTCTGATTTTTATGTCTTATTTCTGTGCGGATTTTGTTGTTCTGTCAATTAAAACCAGAAAACTCTTAATGAGGCACGTAACAAGCCAGACAGCTGATCTCCCGGCACCCTCTCTATAAAGAGAGTCCCCCGGCCCATCCGAATTCAGCGAAATGTCATTAAAGAAGCTCGTAAAAATCCGAAAACCAAATTGCAAATAAATTAAAACCACGCAGAATCGGAAACCGAATGCATATATCTATGCATAGAGATTATATAGAATGCCGTCCGCAGAGATCGGCGGATTAAAGATCCAAAAATTATTTTCTGGGCTCTAAATCTTTTAACGCAGCGGTTTTTGTATTTATTTTGCTTTCGCCTTCCGTATGCACCTGCAAGTATTCCGATTTATAGTGTCATTGAAAATCATAATTTATTTATAATTCCCATATAGGAGATGGGAATCTCGCGATCTGTATCTCTCACGCCGCTTTGTATACTTTATTTATTATTACTCTTTATATTTAATTGACGCATTTAGTCCATGGGAACAGCAAAAGCAAACGTGTAGCGCATATATCATCGATATGTGGAAATTATATCTATAATGATGATATAGCCGATACATGTGGCTGTGTGCACATATTTTATATCTGCTGCGCAGAGCCGTGCATATAAATGTACAAAAATATATAGCTGCCTATATATATTGAATTTTTATAAGCGAATCGAAATCAAAAATAACAAGAACAAACCGAAATATACGCAAAAATCAAATCAAATGTCACACTCGGTTGGATCTGAAGAGGTGATTTTTTTTGGATTTTTGGGGGAAAGTGAGGAGAAATAGGTAAATAGTTACGAAATATAGAACAAAATGGGCTAGAAATGGAAAAAATCAATTTATCATCATTTTTTAGACCACGTGTAGGCTTTAAAAACTGCATTCTTAACCATTTTTAAATTTAATAATTACTTATTTAAAACAGCAAACATAATTTGTTTTTTTTTTTATATAGATACAAGAAATGTATATTGCAAAAATTACCTGAAATATTATCTTTGGGATTTAAAATTTTTGGTTATATAAATGCATATTTTTTCTGATTTAATTTTGAGTAAAAGATACCAAACACTGACCCTTCCAATTGGAATTTCGAGCGCTGGGACTGCATGCGTATTACCCTGAAAAAAAAACCTTATCAGGGGTCCCCACCCTACGTCCTATTCGAAATTTCGGCAGCACTTGCTCCAATTTGGTAATGAGCCATGTGGTCAGCCCCCCCAGCCATTAACTGACCGATTTCCCCAAAACGATTGCGATAAATTAACGTGTACTACCTAAAAAAAAAACCTAAAAGTAAGGTGGATGAGGCGGCGAGGGGTGGTATTCTTATCAGAATGTGCAGAAGTTCCAACTGATAGAGCGTTGGGGCAAACAAAAACCAAAACGAAAACCGAACGAGGCGAAAGTCAAACAAACAACAGAAATAACAATTTTTTTGCCGGCAACGTTGCTAATGACGACACTGAAAAAAAGGGGGTTGTGGTGGGTGGAAGAGGGGTTGGAGGGGTGTCAACTGCCGCGCGCTATTTGAAAATCGTTAACAACGTCAATGGCAACAAAAGTGCTGCACATTTTCTCGACTGCACTCGAAGGGATAAAAATATGAGAAAAACACTCAAAAAGTTTTGCATTCATTTAAATATAAATTAATAAATTAATTACATTATTAGCTAACGTGTTTCCTCCAATTTTAGTTCGGAGAGAACTAAGCAAACAGGGGCACAAATAATTACTTTAATTTATTTATTTATCACTTTATAGCATTTGAGTTAATACCACTTAATAAGAGTGCGATAGCAAGTGCTTTGGAAACTAGATAAGATATGAGAAATAATTTATTTCCTTCATATCAATAAAATTGTTAAAAAATTTAGCTAAACTATTAGGGTTTTTATTCTTGTAAGAGTATTGTTTTTTATTATTTATCATATTTATTAAGCTCTTTTTTTCTATTATTTCTTAGCCAGATTGTCCAGTAAATAATGTATATATTTAATGTAAATTTTCATAAACGATATGGAATGTTTTGCATTAATATTTATTATTTAGGCTTATTTTTGGTACTATTTATCTTGGGTGGCTTCCGTTTCCTGTTCTTCTATACCCATTTCTTTTGGCTTTTACCAACCCCTTCTTAACCCTAGACCGCCCCCTCGTTTTTTGTTGACGTTAGCTTAACATTTTGCGACCTTTTTCCGATGCGGTTCGATGGAAACGGCGGTCGAAACTCAGTTTCAGTCGGGCTACGTTGCTCGTTCTGCTCGGATCTCGGAATTCGAACTCGATTCCAAGTCGATTCCACTTGCAATTCCAATTAGAATCGCGCATACAATTCGATTTCGTGTTTCTTTAATTGCAATTATAATAAGTAATGCCAATAGCAGTGGCAATAACCATAATAATAATAATAAAAATAACAATAACGACGGCGACAGCAGCGGCAGCAATAAACAAATTTATTCTGTCATCGCGAAGATCGGCAGGCGAGCAATATAAAATCAAATAAAAAAGAAGCTCGTGATCGTGATTGTGATTGTTATGGTGATTGTAATTGTGATTGTGATTGTGATCATCATTGAGCATCCGCAACGACATGCGACAATCAAGATTGAGCGCAATGGAACAAGTTTTTGCCCTAGTTCTGCATTTTCAGATTTATGAGTGGCATGTGACGCTTTTCTATCAGTTTTTCAATTGATTTTGCAACTAGTATATTTTAAATTCCAATAGTTCCAATAGAAAACATTCCAACAAAAATTTTGCAATATATAGATTCCTAGAAAGAATTCCGAAGATCTGGAGATATCTTATCTTTCGGGCAGCTGTGATAAAGTTATCTAGACAAGTTTTATAACGTTTCCCAATGATCATTAGATGAGCACTTATCTGTCTGATTTTATCTTCTAATGGCGCTGATAAGATCCGAATCGGTTCTTCCAAGAGATCGTTAATGATATATCTTTAAGGCATCGTTTATGGAATTTTTTGTTTTGCTATCTCTGAGCATCGCTCGAATCATTCATACTTTCGATCTTTCAATGGAACCCAACCCACTTCACTTACGTAGTTCCCCCCTTTAGTAAATCAATCACTTATGAAGTGTGTTTGCCTAAATAGTTAGAGCTTCTTGATTGATCGGTGATCAGTGAACTTGGATTGTGTCAATATTTGAGCTATATTTGTTGACTTTTAAAATTGATTGGGAAATTTGTTCATAGATCTCGTAC